TGGATTATAACTCATTTGATGATATCGGCATCTTATTTAAAATTTGATTAATCAGAATGTCCATAACTGATACCAGAATATAATTAAAATATATTATATATTATATTTTAATAATAATTTCCTGTGTCAGTTATATCAATTGTTTTGACAACACTATAATTTAGTTTTTAAATTCCTATTTATATCTAACATCTATACAAATTGATTCTAGCCTTAGTTTTAATGTTCAAAATATAAATTAAGCATAAGAATAAAGTCATTATTCAAAAGAATTTTTGTTCAGTGAAAATATGTTGTAATACCAGAGGATAAAAACTCATTTAATACATATTTAAAAGATAATTTCTTTAATGATGATTTGTTGATCATTTTATTTTATCTAAAAACTAATTGAATAATAATATATAAATTTTATTAGTTTAAAGATATTTTTAATTTATAGAGTAATAGGTGACCTAAGTTGTTGTTTATTTCAGAAATAATTAGTCGAAGCGAATAAATTTATGGTAATTAGTTTATTTTTTTTAATTATTATCCTTTTTATTCAGTTTGTGAAAATGGAAATACAAACTGTCTCGATAGGACCTCACTTATGAGTATAGAAGCGCAAAAAACTTATATGACCAAATAGTCTTAATATAACACAGGTTCGTATTTCTCAATATGCTCAAAATGCCATTAGAAGTCATATTGGTGTGCTTATATCTTTCAAGGTAGGCAATTTTTGGAAGAGATTTTATTTTATTAATGGGAAAATTGGAGAGAATACAGATTGTTAGATTATTAAGTAATCATGGGCTTGTAGTGTATTTACTTCGGCTGATAGAGTGGATTTCTTTGACTCGATTTGAATGAGCTTATGATCAATTTAACTCCTAAAAACTTCATCTTTGCGTTTTTTCTTATATGAGTATTGTCTTCCTATTTATTCTTCCGGGTTATTCATTAGCTCATTAGGTTGAAGATGATTGTAACAAAAAACTCATGTGACATAAGTGATTAAATAAGAAGGTATGCATTTCCTATTTTGATTATCATGAAGAGAAATTACTACACCTATATTATTATAATTATTATATGTCAAATCATTAAATTGTGCGAACAACTTTGCTTATAACAAGGTCTGCACACATTTTATATAAATGGTAAAAAGCGTCCTCCCAATTTCCAAAGAACCTAGGACACAAGGGGCGTACTACAAACTCTTTTGGCCCTTCTCCTATAATTATCGCACTTAAATACTCATATCCAATCTTCATCCTCATTTGTGTGTTCATAAGCTACTTTTTTTCAGTTACATGGCTGCTAATACCGATTTATTATTCACCCCTTTATCTTAGATCTCAAGATACCAGATGACTCCACATCCAGAAATCATAGGATTAGGAATATCAATACACTCACCACTTCCAAATCTCTTAACCCAGAGCGCATTTTCTGCCTAATAAGTTCTATTTCCTGTAAATTATTTCCAGCTATTTTCGATTTACCTATCCATTCAAATCCTTTTGCCTTTAATCATAAATTTTTATCTCTCTAATAAGATTTAATGGGTTACTTAATTTATCCTCTATTACATCAAACTATTTATTTTAATAGTTGGAATGTACTAATATATCCTTGGTTTTGAGATATCCATAGGATCATCATTGTCAATCGCCGCCTAAGGGGTGACATTCTAGATATCTCTTGTAACACTTTCCTCGTCTAGACCTTGAATTTCATGATTCTTCATCCTATCTGTATTTAAGAGATTCTCCTCTATCAGTTAATTCAATCCTTCATTGGGAAGTTTAGTACCTTTCTTGAACTTCTTATCAATTTAATTCTAAATAGAAATACCGGATTGATTAAGTGATTACTCTCTCATACCCTCTTCCGACATCTATCAGATCTCCTCTTCCTTCTCATGGACCTTAATTATCCTCCTAATTCCTCTTATTTTTAATTATATTCTTTGTAATTACTTCTTATCGCAGTTATCTATCTTTATCCTTCTCCCTATATGAAATCCAACATTCTATTGCAGTCCTAGTTAGCCATACCTAATGTATCAATCTAGAGTCGTCCATAATAATATGATAGGCCTTATTCTCTACTTCTCTATTTATTAACAAAGGGTTTGATGATGGGACTCTTCCCAATTATGTTCCACTACCTTAGCCTTAATATATTTAGAGATGGAATTTATAATCCCTTTTATTTTTCTGTTCAGGCCTGATAGAGCATTCTGCCCTTTTCTGAGGGTTTAAAAAATCTTTAATTTTTTTAAAACAGATTGAAAAAAATTATTTCCATTATCCACATTTTTTACATCTGCTTCAGGTTAACTATCAGGAGACCCTTGAATATTGAGTATTTAGCCCACTTTCCATTTGGATTTTGCTAGATCCCCAATTACTTCATGAGTTTGACCAAATATGCTCCTAGGTCCACATATGTTCTTCGCCTCCATCCAAAATCACTTCATCCTTGTTGTCATCAAATAATCATTTCATAAATGGTATGAAATAGAATAACAATAATATGGTTAATTTTTATCGCCTATTAGCTCTTGTTGGAAAAATTAAATGGCTTCTTTATTTTCTTTATAAATAAAAAATTGAATTTCCATCCTAATTTTAATTTTCTAGATTGTAGTAAATTAATTTCATATTATAATTTATTGTAATTATGATGTGTATATCCAATTGATCATTGAATGTAGAGGGTCTAACAGTGGATAAGGTACATACTTGTTTTACAGCGATGTCACAGTCATCTTTTCAGGTCCAAAGGCATCTCATACATATCGGGTATAAGGTATATCCATTGAATTTAACTGGAAATATGAACTTACAATATTGCTAAAAAATGATAATACTATCCCATATCCCCATTGATTTCGTTATGATAAAAGACTCCTATTAACTCAACCAGTATCATATATTTCTCTATTTTTTTTTGTCACTATAGAAGAACCATGAAATTTGACACCAGATTAATATAACATCCTAGATTTCTGTCACAAATTAGTTTCCTATTAAGTGACCCCATTTAGGGCTTCTTCAGATGCTTTCTTTAGGCATTCCCATCGCTTCTCTCCGTTTCTAGCTTAAATTGGATAAATTTTCTTTTGTTAAGGTTGAAAGCAGCTGCAAGTTTCGCCATCTTCATTTTACATGACCTTTGAGGGTGAGTTTTTAAATAATATTGGTGTAATGGTTTATCTAGCCAAGAGGCTAAGACAGTTCAGTTTATACGACGGCGAAGGATGATTTAAATATTTATCCAGGATATCAATCTTTTCAGACCAGTTAACAAGATCAGTTATATCTTACCAGTTCTGTTCTTGAGAGCTTGCTCCTATACCAATTACTAGAACAAACCCTATACTTGTTCCTAGCTTGCCTAATCATCATTAGGTCTTTTGCAGATGAGGAGGAAGAGCTTCTCTTACATATTGTCTAAAGTTTCCTCTTTCATCGAATCCTGTTATCTTGATTTCTGGGTCTGATTAAGGCTTCTTATCTCCACCTTTGAGTTGTTAGCTTTATATGACCTCCTTTCACATTTGCTACATACTCGATCAAATTACTTTTTATTACGAGCATTTTTCGACTTTCTTCCTAATCTAGTTCAAGATTGTTCTTATTAATCTAAACAAGCTGTAATTCAAATTCTTGATTGATAAGAACACGATAAGTTTTCTCTGAGGGTTAAGTTTGGTAATAAATAATGGGGTCTTATAGGGGAATTCTCTATCGCTATGGATTAAAATGTGATATATAAAACTATTGATAAATATTATTATGAATATTATTCAAAAATATAGACAGTTCCTAGATAATGAAGCCATTATTTATAATATTTATAATGAAGGAATTAGGGGTAGATGAGATCCTATCGCTTTCTAATGGATGAACTTTGTATTCATCTTCATGTCAGCTTCATATATCGTAACAAGACTTTCTTTACTTTGGATGTATTATAATGAAATAAATAAGGGAGAAACGCAGCTTCAACTTATTAAATATCATATAAGAGAAATATGACCCTTTAGAATTGAAAAGTAAATCATTAAGCCATCGATGAAAAAGGAGGATGGATACAATTAGAGTTGATGAGTATTATTAAGGATCTTTTAGGATAATATCAATTAGAAGGGAATAGTACTGAACATAGATTCAGAAACTATCAAAAATTCGAAAAGGAGAATGAAGAATACTATCCCAAAGTCAGGTCAAAGACTACTCTTTAAAATTTAAACGAAAAAGTAGATGATATAGGCGATAAATCATAAAGAGATGAAACATTTGGCCTATCAATAAATTACTTGCCACGATACATGAGATAATATAGGTGTTGTAACTATCTTAATAAAATATCTAATCTAAATGGAGATATTATCTCTAGTAGGGTTACTAAAATAAGCACTTTTAAAATTTTAACAATAAATCAATTGACAAGAAAGAGTTATATTTGGTAAATGGGAGGAAAGACTTAAATTAGAAGGTAAATATTATTGCAAAAATGATGCAAGGGAAATAAAAGGCTATAGATAAGTGAAGAAAAGGATTTCATACTGGGATAAGCAACTAACTCCTAAAATGACCAATATTAATTGAGATTTATAGCATTTGAAAAGGCTTGTGGATAAGAAGCTAAAGGCATAATACAAGAGTTTGCATTGTTATGAAGGGAAGTTAGACCGAATTTATCTAAGATCATTAATGTTCTTCTCTAGGATTATTTAGCGTAATGGAATGATTAAATTGCAAATATGAAGAGTCATATTCTGCCTCATAGGTATACTGATGTTTCATATGATCGAAATTTTCTATAATCATGTTGTCTCAGTGTAAATTTTAGCCTATCAAAAATTATGTTTACTGATTGAAAAAGATAGATCCTATTTAGGTAATAATTTTGGAAATTTAAAAAATTGTGAGAATGATTGAAACTATTTTTGAAATGGGTAATAAAAATCTAATTCCTTTTTCTACAAATATATTAAGATTTCTGTGTCAGATGGTTCAATTCCTGAAAACATTTCGATTAATCCATCTTAAGTTTAGCTGATAATAAAACGGAGCAAATATATTAGATTGAATAGATAGGAAGGAACTACTCTTTTAATTATTGAGATTACTTAATAATAATTGATCCATTCGACCTTTTTTAAATAGAAAATACGCCGTAATAATTATTGAAGTTAAGTTGGAAACGTGAATATCAGATGAAAGGTATGAGATATATTATTTTAATTTTAAAATACCATATAATAATTGAGGTAAACTTGATATTCTATAATGTGATGGAAACACCTTAGCTTGATAACAGAGTTGCTGAGAGATGATGGGAATGAATTAAGATTTTGGAAAAAGTGAATTTTTGAATATATTAATTAATAAATTAAAATTTAAATGGATGTTTCAGTTTTTAGAATGAATTTTGAGTATATAGGTAAATTAGTATGAATGAAAATATTATAAAGGTTAGGTAAAGATATCTAAAATAACTAAGTTAAGCGATATTGAAATTAATCAGTATAGTATCAAATTCATAATAAATAGTCTTATTGAAATTAAAGCTTTATGTTACTATTTAAATTTTCAAACTGTGCAATATATTACAATAAAAACAAATATAATTAAGTTTAAAAAATAAAAAGAAGGAAAAGAAATAAACCAAAAAAAAACGTAGTGAAGAAGAAAAAAATATTAAATTAAATTTACAAAATGATAGATACTTATTCTAAAAATGTGATATTAATTAAAAACATAATTAGAAATTTATGCTTGCCATATATTTTATAAAAAGATTCCTTTTTTAATGTTTTTTTATTGACTCTTTACAATTTTTAAGATAGATTTGTATATAATTTTCTAAAGAATGATGATTTGCTGACTTTCAAATTAAAAATTGATACTTCCCAACTTTATAAATTTCTAGTCATTCTTTTTTTAAGCTCAATTTGATTAATCAATTTAATTTCCTGATAATTTGAATGATTTAAAAATTGAGAATCGAAAATGCAACTCAATTATTATTGATAATTTATTTATAAATAGTTTTTTTTTATATGAAAATTGAATTAAAATTCGTTGATTTTAAGTCAATTTAATTCGAGAGACTGCTTATTTTATCGTGAATTGTTCTTGTTGCGATGTATACTCATTACTTGGTCGAATATTTCGATTCTCAATTGTTTAAGATCAAACTAGAAAGAAGTTCAAAGCTCATTTAATTACATTATAAATTGAAAAGCTGTCAAATTTAGTATTGAAAAAAATCTAATCTTTGTGAATTTTATTTTCTTTTCATAATTTGTTTCTGAGTACAACTGATTTTAAGATAGATCTCAAAAGATGTATGAAAAATGATATATTTTGAATCTGATGAACCTTGTTGCAATGCAATAAAATATTAATATTTAAATTAATTTTTCAATCCTAATTTGAATAATGTTAAGATTTCAATTAATTCAAATTTAGTGAATCAGATTAAGGTAATTAAGAATTAAAACCAAAAAACCTTAATCTAAAATGATCAGTAGAAAAAGAAAGGGCTTACTCATAACCTATTATTGCAACTAATATTGTCTTAACTAATGTAATAATAGATAATTAATTTTGGGATTTTGTTCAAATCCTTTTTTAAAAAGTATTTTACCTATATTTACAAATTTAGTATCATCATTAGGATTTATAGAAAGAGCTTTGCAGCAACACTCAATAACTTCTTCGTACTTTTTTTAAATAATATAATGGCAAACCTAAATTATATATTCTAAAATTGTAATTTCCATGCATGAGCTTGTTCATCTGAATCAATTCATTTGATCGAATGTCAAATATTATTAATGCCTCCATATTTTAATCGATGCTGACTATTGATGTCTGTTAGTAATTTTGATTTTTCATTAATACCTTAAATCTTCAGATTTTTTTCATTTCCAATATTCACTTGATTATATAGATCAAATTGATTTTAATCAATAAGATCATCAAACAATACCTTAATTTAAACTCATTCTCATATTTATCAATTTTGAAGTTTTTATTTCAGAATCTATATTTCATTATCCAAAACCTTTTTATCTAACTAAATATAAAGTCTTATCTAAGTATATATCTAATTCTCTTTTGTAAGAATGGATGGTTGAATATGTTAGTTTTAATAGTAATATTTCCTTTAAGACAGACAAGAGGAAATATAGAGAGTTGTCAAAATTATAAAGTAGCCAATACGAAAATTCAAATTCGAATTATAAACATTTCCTCTATCAAAATAATCATACTTACATGCTTGTAAATGCTTAATAAGTTTAATTTCAATCTACTCTTTATTCAATGATCTTAATTTTTTGCAATAAATTCATCCTATCTTTTGATATTGATAATGAAGATAGTAATTATGCTAGATTATCTCCAAATTTAATTGCTTTAAACATAGATTCTAATCTTGTCCAATTTTGACTAGTTAAATCTGAAATTGCAAATCCTCCTCCAAATTAAACATTATGATATGAATTGTATAATAATCGATTTCTCTCCAATCACAATCATAGAACTACTAGATTTATATGCTACATTTTGAAAAATTGAAGAAATGATTTTCAAACTTTGGATATTTGAAATCTAAAGACAAGTATAATTATGTATCTTAAATAATTGTTAGAATTATCTTTATGTACAATTTTATTTCCTCAATGATGTAAATCCATATTCTTTCTTATTTATGTCCTAATTCAAATTCTCAGAAGTCAATACCTACCAAGACATGTAGGGTCATAAGCGCATCCATCATATATGAATACAAGCATGCACTTAATGTTGTAAGCTTATTGAGATATATAATGCAGTTATGCAAGCGATTGGAAAGCACCACAAGGTAAATGACATTGAAAAATCATTAATGGATTGTACTTGCTTAAGTTTACATGGACCAGAATCTAAGATTTATCTTTTAAATTAGTGCATTCAGTGGATAAAATTTCAGGATGTTTGCTTTGCAATGCTTAAATAAGTAAGTTGCTGTAGAAGAACATAACTAGGGTTGCGTAGTGTCTTAAAATTACTGTAGCATCATAACCTGCAAAAAGACACTTTTTACTTTAATCGTTTATACACAGCTGATGGGAGTAGTACAATTTAGAACAAATTATGAGAATCAACACATTAACCACTAAGCATTCTGAACTTTTAATTTGTTTCTCATAAGATATAAAAAATAGAGACTAACCAAAAGCTTACAATCTCTATGAATCAAACGTGTTGCATTATAAAATTTCAAAGCTTGCAATTTTATCAATATCAACATTTTGTTTCAGAAGTATAATTATAACTTAGCACTTGACATCAAATGTTGCATTATTTTGATCATTATATAAATGAACCCATTCATTTACGAGGGCATACATTCGAAGCCATACACTTTAAGAATGGGGAACATGCATTTTGCCAAAATATCGATGCATGTAATTTAGTTAGGACAAGAATAACAGCATTTATAACGACCATCATCTAATGAAATACTGTTAGCATAAAATGTGTGATGCAAAAGATCACAAGGGTTCCAAACTGGACAAATTTATGTGAATAAAGATCTTGATAAATAAGCGCAAAATTAAGAGAAAAAGTAATGCTTTAGAAATATCTTAAATAGGTTAATATTAGAAACTCACTAACAAGATGGATTCCGAATTGACGAGCAGACTTCTTTAGTCTAGTACAACAAATTATTATATTATTTGTTCTTGTGATGGTGTCTTCACTTATGTATAACTGGAGGAATAGTTGGCTCATTCTTTTTACAATTTTTTGGAATATATTTTAGCCTGCAATAAATTTACATCAGGTTTAACTTGTCACAAGTGTTTCAATTTCTATTATTAACATGTTATTTTTTGCTAGTAATATTTACACTCTTAATTCTTATTATAAATGTGAATGCAGTGTTTTAGTTGCACAACTTATATCATCAGATGCTCCCTCAAAACTAGTGATAATTAATTTTTATACTTTTAAACTCCTTGTCTAACACCATTTTTATTTCAGCCATATTGATCTTCTTTTAATGGTTATTTCAGATATGCTATTAATTGCATCATATGATCTCAACCTTATACCATATAGACAGGTTCATCAACTAATAGTTGTTGTAATACAGATCATATCCTATATTTTAGTAAAAGAGTACTACATGTGGTAATGGTAGAACGTGACAGCCAAGGCAATGTTTAGTTGAAAAATTCTTTTCATAAAAAAAACATGTTACTTATGTATGCTTAGTTTGCATAAAGATGCTAGGATACCTTTTACATGGGAAGCTGAATTTTACAATTGAGCGATAAATTTGTATGTACAACTTTTTCTGTTAGAAATTTTATCATAATGTTAAAGTAAGGGAGTGTTCCAAATGTTTAATAGTGAAGATTTAGCTGCCATTTAAAGGTCACTTTACATAATCAAGAATGGTGATGTTGGTGGAATAGATCATCAATTTCTGAACCAACATGAAGTTAATCTAAAACTATTGGATAACTGTTCTGCCATCTAAAGATACTTCGCATCTTTATTTAAGGTTATAATGCACATTCTTGCTTGGCTTGGACATCTTTAACCCTAAAAATCTTGTGCAATTCTTGTTCTTAATGTGCAAAAACTCAGCTTGAATTTTTGTTTTCATGTGATGGTGCACCACTGGAGTAATAGATAAATACTAGACTTAGTTATATATTGTTCTACATCATGGCAATTTGTGTTATTATATGCTTCCTCAGTAATAATACTTCTTAGATTGTTCATCATATCAATTGGAGGATCTAGTGATGATGCATATATATGCATTGCATCAATTCTAAATATATCACTCCTTATGTAATCTGCCTAAAATAAAGATATCTTTGATTCATGTTTTTTTGTATTTCCTTTATTCGACTGCAGCCCTTACTTCAGTTTTATTTATAGGGTGAAGATCATATTGTCATATTTAATAAAGAGAAAAGGAAATAGCGAGTCATATAAATATGCACAACTACATGATTAGGTACCCAATACAAACGCAACAGAATTTTGTATAGTAGAAATTTAGAAAATGCAAAATACAATTCTACAACTTTAGAATGCTAGTTAAATTTAATGTTTTATTGCAATGTTATACAGTAATTCTTAAACACATAAATCAACAAATGCAGTAATTCTGATATTTCCTCTATTTTTGAGCCCATATAATAAACTTTTGGCTTCAGATTTCATAAAGAGATAATAGCCAAACAAAGAATAATGTGTATTTTTGGCATTAACTAACTCTTGGGTCGCCAAATCTATAATGGAGATTGTTAACCTTATAGTTTCTCTCTCCTTAACTTATAATTTTTTGATGATAATATTTTAAGTTCAGATTCTGATCTTACTGCGCTTACAGTACTTGTATATTGTAAAGCGTACTAGTAACAACCTCTTTTCTACCAATATATAAAATCCCTAATTAAATATTGGATAACTTAAGCAGGTTAACTTTGGCTTGTTTAGTATGCCAAAACCCGGATTACTTCTCCATTTGAAGCTCTTGTGTTTAATGCTCTAGTCAATGTTGTACATATACTATTCTACATCTTATGAATAGAACTCATAAAGAATAAATTTCTAGAAGCAATACTTCATGTAAATCGTTTTATGAATATGTGATTAATAAAGAACTATCTCTACTTCTGATAAATATTCTTCCTATTTTCTTTATTTGATTTTATTGGAGTATAGTTTTTTGATCGCATGATCAAATGATTGTTCATTATGAGATCAGAGATTACTATTATCATGTCCTCTATCCACTAAATATGGAACTCATTAAAAGTATTAATTAATATATCTACATGCCTTTAAAAATACTTCATCTAAATACTATTTATATCTAAAGCTTTCATAAATAACTATAAACTGCAGCAATCATCAATAATTAAGTCTAATTGATTAATTAATATGGAACCTTGAATCTAAGCAGCACTTACGGTAGCATAGTTAAAATTGGATGGATTCATAGTGATAACATTATTGTAATAAATCAAATTAATTAATCCTAAAAAATTATTGAAATTGAAATATAAAATAAATAAGAATACAAGGAATAGAATAAAGTGCATTTATTATAATAATGACTTATGTTAGATTAGTTAAAATCAATTTATAATTGTTTTATTTTCAAAGAGTTATATATTTAAATTTTATTAATAGGTAAGTCTTATTAAGTCAATTTGTTTTTAAACAAAGAATCAAAATTACTTTAGTTGTAGGCTTAGCCTACAACTTACTCTTACTAAAGTTTCCAAAATCTAACTTCTTAAAAATTCAACCTAGATTAAAGTTTATAAATGATAGTGTGAGTCAAAAAAAAGTAAAAATATTATTCTATTGAAGATTTCATCAACGTGTTCATACTGATTATGTAGATCGACTAATTAAACAAAGGAAGAGAAAATCTATGTTTGTTTCAGAATCTTCATCGCCTAAGTTCACTATCCTAAACACTATTGTAGAATGTATATTAATCACAGACTTTTACAAATCGTATTATTAAATCTTTAAACAAAGTAAAAATGTTAGGTTTGTTCAAACTCTTTTCCATCATCTGTTTTTATAGTAATTTCAATACACCTTTTTCAATAACTACCAAAGCAAAAGTTAAACTTTTAATATGAATCTAGAGTGTTTATATTCAATTTATGGCCATTATTGGGCATGCATAGTCTTTTAGTCTATATAGAGTCAATTTCTACTATGCTTGGATATATTAGTATTGTTGTTTTTAATCAATATTATCTTTTTAGTTAGAAACAAAAGTATTGTTACCGTCTCTCTTAAATGCGATATATGTTTCTTTGCATATAAGATTAAGTACCTTAACTAACAAACAGATGTTCAATAGATGTGGCTGATATAGAATAATAGGAATAGCAATCATTAATTACTGAATATAAGTAAAAATATCAATTGAATTAATCGATGAACATTATCTTAAAAGAAAAAATAGTATATATATATAAGTATTTTATTATAATACTCTTAGCAAGAGCGAATTTGATCTTTTGGGAATCTAAAATTCATTTACATATTATTTGTTAATATATAACATAACGACAAAACTAATTCCTAAAATTGATTTATAAAATATAGAAATAGAAAATTAACCAGTAAATATGCAAATAACTTTTAGGATTGTTAGGCTAATGTGTGTGGTAAACATTGCGGTTTATTATTGATTTATATCGCTCCCCTCAGATCTTGCCTCTCTAGGTCAGTTTGGAAATAAACTTGCAATTTACAGTTCAGTCTCAAAGTGTGTTTATAATCAGGTTATTGTTCAGCTATCTTTGAGGTCATAAAAAAAAGTATATTCCACTGTTACTTATCTAAAAATGATTCATTATGCAATTGGATACTGTCTGATTCTGTCCACTCTTAACGATTAAATTAATTAGCAATAGCACTTGATACGTAGAATTTATATTTGTTATGTTAATAACTTTAGCTCCCACCAAAGATAGTAGCTGATAGATGAGTTTATTTGTAATGCAATCTCTACACCAAGCTAAAATAACTGAGGGTAAAATGATCACTCTTGTATTCAATGTTTGAACTACTTTAGTATGGACTGAAGAAATGCGCAAAAAGTTGTGGTTGCTAAACTGGAAAAGAGTGATCATTGAAATGATGCATTTATACTGGATATTATAAATCTCTTCACGTTTCCCTAAATTTGATTTATATTTGTTAGCCTGCTAATTGAATTAGCTAAGATTAAGTAGCCCACTTATTTGCGAGTGGTTATCAACTGCTGGAAGTTCTAATATTGAGTAGCCAAATTATCTATCTATTTAAATATTTCTAGAGAGTTTTGTTTAATCTTCGAAGATTCCTGTGGTTCATGAGAATTTTCACCAACTTTACTGAATGTAGAAATAGTGTTGCTGGTTCTGCTTTAATACTATCTCATTTATGCAAGAGGTTGTTTTCCGTTTACATTCAGCATATGACCTACTTCTTAATATTGTGTCTATATCATAGATCTGAAGTCCAAAGTGGTACAAATGGCTAGATATATCCTTTGCAATGCCGATTGCTTTGCATTAAAAATTATGTAAAAAATTCTAGCGCGCCTATCATCTGTTATGCTTAAACTTAGATTGGAAATACAAATATATGTCTATTATCATTTTACAGCTAACTGTAACAGTCATGAACTTGCAATCCTCCTGTTGGTTGGCTATTTATTAATGAAGAACTCTGTTCATTTTTGTGGATAATATTTAGATCGATGATCCCTTCTGCTCGGAGTCGATTTTCATATTGTTCTTTACATATTCTTTTCTAAAGACACTACTTATTTCTATTGCATATGGGGGTTCTATTGATCATCCCCTTTATGGTTCTAATTTTCATAACACCAGTAAACCAGCTTTGAGTACTAGTTGGTATAATTTATCTACTTCCATAGCCCTGTTCAACTTTATGTAAATCTAAAAGTCCCTATATTTAATAATTTAGTAATTTTGTTTTGCATTTATCAAAAAATGATACTGGCTCATGTTTATTTGTTATTAATAACATACTTGGATAATGTAAATATGAAGTTGATTAATTTATTGAGATTATTATTGAAATATTGCTTGTCTTCAGAAATCCTCAGATCTAATTCTGTGTCTAGATAGCAATTTTATAATGGAAATTATAAACCTTTCAACCTGTTATATTATGATCAGACTATCAAGATCAAGATTCAGCCTGTTTGTTGTGCTTTATAAAATTAATTAAGACATATAGAATAATATTATGCAACTTGTAAATCAGTTATTTGTTTAATAAATAATTTTGTGTTTGCATTGAAACATATAGTGATTTTGACGCCGCCATAATAGTCCTAGAGCATGATATATTATGTATGCGTATAATTAAATGTTGATGAGCGCTTTTGAGATTAATTCACCTTCATATGTGGATCTTCTACTTTTCTGAAACTTAAACTTGGGAACCTAGTACAGATCAATTTATTGTCATATAGGTTAGTACTATAAACACTTACATATTTACACCTAAAATCATCTGGAATACTTAATATTCTATTTGCAAAGAGTGATAATTGGAGGTTAAGCCAAGACCTGTTAACTAGACCTTATATATTTTTTCTTCTTTACCTGAATTGGTATGCTTTATCTGTTTCTTACGTTAGAAAACATCAGTACTTGTTTACATTAATAAGTTGAAACATTTCCAACACGTTTCATCAGTTATTGCAAAAGATACATATTGTTTTATTTAATCAATATATCTAACATAGCCACCTCCTTAAATTAAAATTCGCAATTTTATGCTCTCATCACTAGTGGATTTTGAAATTGTTGAATTTAGTTGCAGATGCTGTAATGATTCAGCCACTACTCCTAAATAATTCTGATAATAGCTTCTTTTCATACCAACCTTCTTTGTCATGTTTTTGATACTGGCTCTTGCAAAAATTCATAAATTTCGAGACATTAATAGCCGATCTTGCCCACTGGAATTAATCTAGATATCAACGATTTCAATAAAGTTTAAGTTAAATGCGGCGAATGTTAGGATTATCCTTCTATCATAAGTTATGTTTGAACTCTTTTTATAACAATCATTAGCACATCAGCAACAACCTTCATATGTATTATGGCTAAACTGAATGCAATAATTTCATTAACTTGAATCTATCTGTTCTGAGTGGGCTTATCCTTTTTGGCTGAAGTTAATAAGTATGGCCTTCCCCTTGGAGCCAATTTTTCAATCGTTCATTAACACAGTAGGTTTCTATATATGCAAAAATTTTTCTTGTTCTTAAGGCTTTCTAATTCTTACTGGATGTTATTACATCCATAATTTGGAACCACTTCACTATCTAGCAATTTGAGTTAGCGCTCCATTTTATTTGAGGCTACACCTCTCTACTAGTAATTCAAGGGAATATTCAAGCCATAATCGATCTCTTTGATTAAAATAACTCAACCTCTATTTAGTGGAAATGCTTCTACTTATTATGCTCTTGAAGCAGCCTCCCAAAATATTTTACATGTGTTACAGTGCATTTCGTTATTGCTTTATATCCACACCTACCCAACAAAATCGAATAGTTGATCTCAAGCCTTAAATAACAATTTCTTAAGCATCATCCTTTGCTAAATGCGTTTCAACACTCAAGATTAATTTTCAGCATATCTTTAGCAGCTGAGTACATAGTATTACTTTTAACAAGGCTTCAATTATGAAGGGTTAATATTCCCAGCTCTTATTTATCAGATAAATGAGTAGGAGTAGTTATAAGGTGCACATTACATACATCTTAAAATGAACACCAATATATTTAGAGATCATAAAACTCAGAGGGTTTTGTGATGGCTTTCCCCTGTCTCCTCTATCTGTAGACGCAAACACTTGGACTCAAAGTATAACTGAGGGTGATATACCTAGCTTATCCATCCTGCTATGCATATTCAGATACTAGATAAACATGTTATACTTATTTACTTAATTTAAATTCAAAAAAGAATCCGTTTCCTGTTTTCCTTAAATTCCTCACCTTAATAGCATATAGATAATTCTATTGTATTCAAAATTACCTTTGATTTGTTCCATCTTGTGGAGGATACTTCTCAAGTATTTAAAGTAGTAAACTACCATAAAGTTCAATTACTGAATATATGCAAAGTTACGATGCATATTTGTCTCTGGATACAAGTAAACTTACACATCTTTACTTCATTAAAGAATCTTGGGCTGTCAATGTTCTTTACCTTATGCTGTTTGCAAATCATTCTGCCAGTTAGATGCCAAGCATTTCATTCTATAACTAAATAAATGCACAAGATGAACTGCTGGCATTACATAGCGAGATACATACTTATGTTTTTTCAGAATAATTCCATCTGTGATTGCTGCACTAGTACCTTTTTGTTAGAAATTTTACTTTCAGGAGAGCTATTATGATAAACTCACCATGCCCCTACAAAAGAATGATGTGCAAATTCTAATGCTTAAATTTTGATGGTTCTTTCAAGATCATAACTGAAATTCTACTGTTAGTCCAATATATCCCAAAAACCTAGGTTCTCCAATATAATATTGTAAGAATTTTTTCAGGACCTACCTAAGTTAAATATCAAATCAATTTATTCTACATAGTACTTTGCAATTTCCACTAGGTGTGTATAAATGCTTGTTTATTCTTGTATTGAGTTCTAATTAACTTTAATCCTGTTATTAATTTCAGAGAAGAATTAGCAACGAATGCAATATGCATAACTATGTCTCAATAACTAATCTTTATGGTTTTTAATAATAACAACCTTATCTGAATTCTGTTTCTAAATGATTGTATTTAGTCTTATTGTAATTTATTGCTTTCTAATTCTTGTTTCAAGATTGGGGTGATGATTTTATTGCTTAATATACAATCTTTCAGTACCACTATGCGAAATAATAATAAATCATGAAGAAGAGTTACTCCGCTCAATCATAAAAAAAGCACATAATTGTCATAGGGTAATATTATAACATATTTCATACTTGAAAAAGGTACTTAAACTGTCATTTTTGTATCTAAACGTTCATATACATCCTGATATCGCTGTGACACTATCAATAATTGAAAACTATAAGCAAAAACTACTAATGTTTTTTCTTCTTCACAATCATCCCCTGATACTTCGAAAAACTAGCCTAAAGTAAACATGACTGATTTAAGAGCATTTTGGGTCATAGGATGACTTTTGGGGGATTAGGCTCCATATATCTAATAAATATAAATACATGAAAGCAAGAAATCTAGTTTAGCACCTAATCCAACAAATGGTTGAATTTTCACTAAAATGCAAAAAACATAGAGCATACATGATTCAATTACTTCTAAATCCAATTATTAATTAGGAGTGTACAAGATGTTCTGTTTAGGTTAAGTAGCCAACGAAATAAATAGTACAGTCTAAATATTTGAACACTAATCCAAAAGTAAGTCCAAAATTGAGCTTAATGTGGTAGTCCTTTGGTTTACCAGTTTTCTGTTTGTTCCAAATAACGACCCAAAAAATGAGTAGCTAGATGATAAACGCCAAAGGGCTTACAGTATGAATGCATCATGTTAATTAGGTTGATCTAACAAATTCAATTATTTTATGATCGTTCTGTATCCAGTAAGTAATGTACTTAGGTTAATGATAAGGAGCATTAACATCCTCTTAAGGGATGTTTTTAAGCAGTTCTCAACAACTTCTGAAAAAGCTACTTATTACTCTAAGATTTCAGGATGTGTCTCTTTTTTCTGCAAGAGGACATTTCTTCAAGTTACTGCCTGACTATTTTCGCCCACAATATACACTTAAGGCTTTTCTAAATTATTAATAATAATATCTTCTCGTTTTACATCGTTACAAACAGGATTAAGATGCTATAAACTTTAAGTTTAATAAATATAAAGCAAATTATTAGTTTACTTAAGATTTAAAGAGAAAAAGGCGCTATGTGGACAATATTTTACAATTGGGA